CCACCTTACATCACGTAACCACCGGCCGCAACCCACACCCTCTCCAGCAGACCGCCGCTTCTTATCCGTTACCACAGTCGCAAGCCACCTGACCACCTCTTGTCTTCCGACCAGACAAGGTTCCGAGTGACGCCAAGGCTATTGAAGACGACATCAGGGCCATGCGTTGCCATTCTCGGACGCGTCTCCGGCTTTTCTGCCGCTGCGAAGTCACTGTCATCACCTTTCCGAGCAACTGAAGCGAGTGACGTCCTCCTTCGACTACCTTATGCCGCCGCAAGGTGTTGTTATCGCAAACCGCCGCTAATTCTGATCCTAGGATTGATGTTGTCGGCTGTCTCACCTCCTGCCATCGCCACACACCTCAGGTGTGTGATTGGGTTCGCTTTGCGCGCATGGGGCGTGTGTGTGTGTTTCTACTGTTGTGCATACCGTGTGTGTGTGTGTGTGCTCGTGGCCAGGAAGCTTGGAAAACCACCATGGCAGCCGGCCATGGTGGCTGTCGCTATAAACAACCGTTCTGCTACCACCCGCCGCCATGTGGCGGTGGTTGTGTGTGATACTTAGTGTGTATGTGCGTGTGTTTTAATAGGTAAAGGGTTGTATGGACGGAATTCGTGAGAAAAGCCACCGCCACCACCATGAGGTGGTGGCTGCCACCATCTGCCGCCGCCGGCCACCATAGGATGGCTGTGCGTGTTTAATTAGTGTAGTGTGTGTGTTTATTTGTGAGTTCATTGTAAATTGTAAAACAATTGGAATAATGAAAGGAAAAATCAAACCACCACCATAGGGTGGTGGCTGCCGCCTCCTGCCGCCACCGGCCGCCGTGTCGGGTGGCGGTGTGCCTTGTCGGATTATGTTGACTCGTTTGGGGTGCTTGAAACCCTAATGGGCCAGTGAAGCCTAATGGGCTTAGTGAAAACCCAAATGGGCTTAATGATATTCTAGTGGGCCTAATAGGCCTAATAAAGCACTAATTGACCTAAAAGCCCAACAAATTGATAATGGGCTAATATGGGTTGGAGACCCTAATATGGGTTTGGAAAACCCCAATGCAATGAAACCCTAATTTGGGGGATTAATCGGGACACACGGGAATTATTTAATAACTTGAAATATTAAATAATAATATTGGCAAAAAATTAATATAACTAATATTGGACTTAATGAATTAAGTCCTTAGAGGATTAAGTCCTTAATGGGTTAAGTAGGAAACTTAACCCTAATCATCATTTCATGTGAAAACCCTAATTTTGGGATTATGGGCTTGGACTTATCGGGACCCACATTTGGGCCATTGGAATGGAATTGTGTATTAAGCCCAATCACACCATATGACTTATTTAGTAAAGTGAAAGACTTAATGGATTAAGTCCTTAATGGGTTAAGTGAGAAACACTTAACCCTAGTTGTCATTTTATGTGAAACCCTAATTTCACTTGGGCCTTGAGTGGGGCCTTCCTATAGGGTTTTGGTGGTTAGACTATTGATGGACCATCCAAGAACAAGTTAATGGACCAAAGTAATTAGATGAGCTTTAGGATAAGGCCCATGTGAGGAATTGGGCCCAATTTGGAAGATTAGGCCATATGTTGGGCCTTGGCCCATTACTTGACTTTTGGGCTTTTGGAGTGTGAGTTGGACTTTGAGCTTGGAACCCAATTATTAATTGGGTATTGTTTGATGTTGACAGTTGGGGAATCTGTCAATCAGCAGCTGGAGTGTACCTGCGGGACTTCAGCAGTGTCAGGTGAGTTCTCCTCACTATATCAACAGGGTCTACGGCACCAAGGCCGGCCCTTTATGATTGTATCCTGGTTATAGGATGTTGCTATGCTATGTGATCTGTTAGATACGTATGATTATCTGTATATATGTTAGTGACCTGGTTAGGTCGGTATCCTGGTTATGGGATGTTGCTATGCTATGTGATCTGTTAGATCCGTAGGATTATCTGTACATGTGTTGGTGACCTGGTTAGGTCAGTATCATGGGCATAGGATGATGCTATGCTATTTGATCTGTTAGATTGGTTGACTGTTATATATATATGCTAGCGTATGATATGTATGTGCACATGTTTGTTTGATTGGGGGTTTGGGTTGAGGCGATCCTGCTTTGTGCTGAAGGCCAACATACCCAGGGCGGTCCGGATAGACTACAGACCCAGGAGGGTATGATAGTCAGACCGAAGGCCCGACGAGCAGTCGGGATAGGCTGAAGGCCCTACGAGGCGGTCCAGACGTGCCGAAGGCTTGGAGAGCGGTCCAGATAGACTGAAGGCCTGCGAGGCGGTCCAATCAGGCTGAAGGCTCAATATGCATGTTGTTCTGTATTTGTATTGATATGATATTTGTTCTGGTTAGTATGGGTTGGTATTTTGGGGGTAACTCACTAAGCCTTCGAGCTTACATTTATCGATTATTGTTTCAGGTATTCTGATGATCACGGGAAGGCGAAGGCGTGATCGTGCACCTCCTTACATTTTCATGATTGATTCTGGGGATACTCTGATGTTTAAATTATTTTGAAAGTAAACAGTAATGACTTAATGGTTTTAAACGTTTTAAAAAGTTTTAAATTGGCTTGAATTTTTGGGGTGTTACACTCACTACCACCGTCGAACCCAGATTTGTACCACCATTAGAGAAAGATAAAGATGAAGATCGAGGTCGCCACCTTCTTCAGATCTGGAAAGACGAAACTTCGTTTTTTCAGACCCACAAACACTGTAACTCATCTGAAAGCGATACCCAACGAAGAAAGCAAAATATTATTATTCTTCTTCTATATCGAAGTATCAAAGAATTGGAGGTGCTTGACAATTTCGATTTTGATTTTCTAGGTTTTGAGTTTTCTGGGTTTGGAAGTTCTTAAAAGCTTCGATGAACGCGCAATCGAAGATTGGAGTTTCTGAAAGCTTCGATCTTTGATTTTTTTATTCACCGACTGGATTTAGTTTAAAGTTAGATTAAATTTGACTTTAGTTCATAGGTTCAAAGCAGGGTAACTGAGTTTAAAGAAATCAAGGTCGATTTTTAAGTTGGTCACCCTCGATTTGCAGGTGTCTATATTAATCATTTTATGTGTGTATATGTTGAAGAAGATGAACACATAAAAGCATTCGTTTTATTGGGACTTTTACTGATTGATTCAAAGATGGAAAACTTGATTTCTTCAAGAACAAAAGGATTTTCAGGAACTTGATTTTTAGAAATTGATTTTCGGATTTCTAGAAACAAAAAGAGGTTAAACAGGTGGTGTTGCTCGATAGGAGAGAGAGGTCAAAGAGAAGAAGAAAGTCAGAGAAAGGATAGAGGGTGCGTGGGAGGGGGAGGGTTTAAGGGTGAGGTATGGGTAGGTAGATTATTTTTTTTATTTTTAAATTGAAAATGTATCAATATAAATTTAAAAAATAGAAAAAATAAAAATAAAAATGGCAAATCAGTTTTTTCAAGCTGTTCAACCAAAATTCCGAGGAAATTTTGATTTGACTTTCAATACAAGTTGAAAACTTTTTGGACTCTATCCATAATTGTTTTTAATACAAACCAATTTTACAGTTTTGTCAAATTATATTTATAATTCACAAATAAACGATACAATTTTCTATAGACCATCTATAAATCGAGACAAGATCTTAGAGCCTCTCCAACTCATTCTCATTTCCATTATTTATCTCATTTTTTTCTTCTTTTTCTCAGACCCTAGTCCATTTATTCCTTCATTTTGGGAGAAATGAATATTATTCATTTCTCCCAAAATAGAAATAAACTTTAAGTTGTCGGTTTTATCCCTCTTTTTATATATTTATATATTTCTGGTTTATTTTAATCTACTAATTATAATTTAAATATAATATTTAATATTTATAATATTTTGTTATATATTAGATTATATTAATTACTTGTAAATATAAAGTTTGTTTTTTTTTATCAAAGTCATAAAAATTTAAATATATATTTAAATTTTAAAACACAATAATGTATTTTATAAAAGCTTATAATCAAGTGTTATCAATATAATCTTATTTATTTAATATTATTATAATTAAAAAAAATATAGATTATATATTTATTAAAACAAAATTAGTAGAAAGATGTGCTTGACAATCTATATAAATATACTAAAAATATATTTTTAAAGGGTAAAAATAAAATAAAAAAGACAATCTATATAAATATACTAAAAATATATTTTTAAAGGGTAAAAATAAAATAAAAAATAGAATAGGATTGAAAATAAAAACCACCGTTTACCCTATTTTTTTAATCTGGAAAAAAATAATCCATTTTGACTTTAAAAAATGAAAGTATGTTGAAGAGGTCTTAGAAAGTCTTCCGCACACAGCTGCACAACAAAAAGAATTTCTTAAAATAACCACAATGGATTAAACATTTTGTGCTTCTTTTCTTGAGTGAAAATAATCGTTTTTTTAATGTGTGGTATAAAGTATAAACCAAATATAAACAGTATTTTTTTTTTCTAAATGAATATGGCCACATAACCATATTTTATAAATAAACGAACCATGTTCAACTTAGATATAACATTATATATAATTATAACGTGGAATTGTATATTTAACAAGCAAATTAAATAATATAAAATAAAAGTTTAATAATTTGTCAAAATTCAACCTTTAAAAAGACAATGCTTTTGCTACGATGTTTGGTTTCTTCAACTTTGAGCGCCTGCAATAATTCAAAAGCTTCTGCCATGGCGAATTCGGAAAAAAGCTCTGAAAAGCAGAGCCCCAAAAGTTGATTCATCATTTGGATGCAAAGATTCGTAAATATGAAAATAAAAATCTATAATTTCGTCTCAAAATTCAAAAATTACATTATAAAAATCACCAGAAAGATGTAAAATCGTGGAAGAAAAAAATAAGGGGAAAAACCTGTTTAGTTAACAGTGTGTAGTGAAAATTCTCTCATCAATGTGTAAAATCCGCAATACTCTACTCTAATTTGAAGAAAGATTAATTAAAGGAAGTGTTAATCCTGAAAACCAGTTTTCTCCCAAATTGCGTTTCTAACCCTACTCAGATCTCGTCCTTTCAAAGTCCGCCCGATTCCTTCGTGAACGGAAAACGAGGCGATTCTCGTCCTCGCCAGTTGTCTCGCCAGAAACTCATGCGGCGGAATCCGGTTGCCGGTGCCGTCGTCGCCGTAGTTATTTTCGTTGAAATCATCGTCTTCATCGTCGTTTCTCCTCCGATTGTCCCTGTAATCTTCTTTTAGTATCTTAGACCAGTCCGGAACATTGACCGGCAACGACGACGCTGTTCCTCCGATCTCCTCTCGCTTCACCACCGCCGATGACTTCTTCGAGATCCGCGAACTCGGCACGGTTTTCCGTAACTCAGGCGATGCGGCAACGTTCCAGATATCTGATTCGTCGAGCTCAAACATGGAGTCCGTTCCGATAGAAACGTCCCTTTCACCGGAAAAGTAGCGGAAGTTTGATCTCGCGTAGTAGCTCTTGGATGCCGCCATTGAAATCGAGCTCTCTTTCTCTCGCTCACAAAATTTCTACTGTGTTTTGGAGTTATTCGTGATGAGTTGAGTCTGCCTTTTATAAATGCTTCCAGTGGATAAGGTTCTCTCTCATTTTCTTAACCTTTTTCATACTTTTAGTTTCTATTTCAAAAATAGATTAATTTGATACAATAATAATTGCTTTTTTATATGTTGTTATTTAATTGTATTAATTTATTGTACATGTAAAACTTTTTTGGCAGGCGACTTTGAGTTCATTTAACTAGGTTTTTTGAACTTATTCATTAAAATATTATATATTAAAATAATATATATTTATTTAAAAAATTAAATACATTTTTGAAAATAAGAAAATCAGAAAGTTCATCTTAAACGATCTGTTATACCCATCACATACCACATATGTGGTGGGTGTCACATCAGCACCACATTCCTTACCACTAACATGGGATACCTACCACTAAACATAACTCCACCTCATTTTTTTATTTAAATTTAATTCAAAAATACATTAAAATACAATAAAACATATTTTTTTAATTAGTATTTTATTCAATAGAACATATTTTTTTTATTCAATAAAACATATATCTTTTTAAATTAGTTTTTTTATTTAAATTTAATTCACAAACACGATAAAACATATTTTTTTTAATTAGTTGTTTATTAACCTTATATTATGGTTCTTCGCAAAAAGCATATGCATTACGTGAGGTTTTATTACTTTTGACTTTTGATGCAGTAATGGCATCCACATAAGGGTGGAGGGAGTGGTAGCATGTGTTAAAACATTGTCACCTCATATTTTTATGGACAACTAAGCAAAATATGATGACATGGAGTGGTGATGTGTTTAGAAGGTAAATATTTCTTTTATTAAATAAAAATATATTTTTATTTAACTATTTAAATAAAATAAATTATGAAAAGTGTACAAGTTGCTAAAGCTAAAATTACAACCGTTTGAAGCTGAAATACTCAAATAGGGACCACTTATCTTCTTTTTCTCTCGTCAGACAACTAGCGACCTACTCTTGGCAACCCAGCTCAGCACATGCATAGGGAGTGGTGGCGAGGCTTTAGCAAGTGCTTGGCGAGGGAGGGTGGCGAGCCACTCCCTTTAGTCTAATAAAGCATTGTCAAACTACGGTGGTTTAGACATGTGTGTAAAGGATTTGAAGACGATAATTAGATTGGTGGAGAGTGTGACACTGGAGGACAGGATACGAATGAGTCGAGTTCTCAAAGAACGTGACCTCAAATAGAAGTCTTAGTATTAGGGTAGTTGAATATGCTAGAATCCTTTATTTATATTGTCCTAACTTCTGTTATATTGATTGTATTGTACAAGTATTATTGTATTTATTTATTGCCATATTGTGGCCGTTAGCTTTCTTCGGTTATAAATGTTGCAATTTTGTTCTTTGTTGGTTTTGCTTACTAACTTTTTGGCGTATGCGTTTGATGTTGTTTATTAACATGTTGGTTTTAATTATGTGTCAGAAGTTATATATTGTGAAGTAGTCACTTTTCCACAACACATGATTGTTGACATCCATCTCCTCCTTACCCCATTTGAATGAGATTTGTTGTTGTTGTAAATACTAAATCAATGTATTTGTTGGTCATCAATAATTAGATTACATTCTTTCTAACAAAACAATTATAAATTTTAAAATAAAGATTGTCGTTATTGACTCGCATACTACTTAACTATTTGTGGTTTTTAACTAGCATCTATTTAAGTTTAACAAGAATTAATCGTAGTATTCTCATTTTGAATTAACCTCAATAAAAAAGTATATCACGAATCATAAACGACATCATAACAAATAACTATTGTATTCGATACCCCTTTTGTTAGTACTGGATTTTGTTTTAGCCAATTTGATCGGTCGGTCTGGTTCAATTTTCAAAACTTGAAAAAACCGCATCAAAGTCTAGAGTCGGTTAAAAACCGAAACTGCACAAATACAAGCCAAAACCGTATATATTCAAGACCACACCAAATGGTTTTAATAACGCAAAAATGCATCATGTGGTTTGTGTTTAGTTTGGTCATAAAACCACGCAAACCACACTATGTTCACCCTTAATTATTAACTAGGCGAATCCATGTACGTTATGCACGAATATATAATTATATAGTTAAAATAATAACTCTTAACAACGTATTATTTAATATTTCTAATTAAACAACCAATGTGAGTAGCAATTAATTAACATATTAGTTTTATTAAATGTTATAGTGTTAAATCATTGCTTGTGTAAACAATTAATTGATGATTTCGTAGTATGTTTTGAATGTTGTGAATCATATATCAAATATATGTTTATTTCTATGTATAATGAATATCAAATAATATGAAAAAACAAATACTATTTTTTTTTGTAACATAAAAAATAACTATAATAACTTTCTTACTAAAAAATCTAATTAATACTTATAAATCGTAATATATATATATATATATATATATATATATATATATATATATATATATATATATATATATATATATATATATATATATATATATCACTACATACTATGAACATACATGCTTAATTATTTTTTTTATGTTTTAACTATTTTTTTATAATAACTTCAAAAAACAACATAAATGGTCTCTGTGGTTTCCTAAAATCTGAAGTTTAGTCCCCGTGGTTTAAAAACGTTATAGATGGTCCATGTGCTTTCAAAACTTTTGACGATTGATCCTTATTGCTAACTCCGTTAAGTTTTATCCGTTAACTGAAGAGTATTTTCGTCATTTCACTACCACAGTGACCATTTATGATCTTTTCTCTTATTTTATAAAAAATGAAAATAATATACAAAGGGGATCCCACCTCCCTCTCTCTCTCTCTCTCTCTCTCTCTCTCGTATGAACACCGCCACAATCCCTAAAATACTAAACATGTTCTGAATTTTGGGTTCTTGAATCGATGTATAGGAAAGGAAGGAAGAAACTTCGTGGTTACTTCTAACCTAGTTGTTGTTGGTTACGTGCTACAATAAGGAGGTGGGGTTTGAGTTAATTGGTACAAACAACGGGGAAAGGAATCGTCGTCTTCATTAGGTGGATGAAGAAACAAACGAACAGAAGGAAAAACTGGGAATCTCCGGTGAGGCTGAGAGATCATGAGAAAGGGAAGGCGTTGACCTCCGGCGACCCTCGTGGGTTCAATCTCCGTCTGATTGGAAGGGAGAAGTACGAACGAAATCAGCAAATGAGGTGGTCCGGTGGGGTTTAACAGATCGCGAGGAGGAAATAGTTGATCCTCGACGAGCCTTCATCTTCGCCCTGGTCATCGTCTTCATCTGATTGGAATGGAAATCGAACGGAGTGGTCAAAAGAGGTGGTCCGGCGACTGAAATTGATGAAGAAGAAGAAGGGTTGTTGGATTTTCCGACGGCCCTTCTCTTGTCTGTTCGTTTCCGGCTAACGCGAAAGGGGAAGAGAGGAATTTGGCCCTGTTTGAGAAAGAACTGGACAAAATCAGAAGTCGGGAGGGGGCGTGGGACCTCGTCTTCATCAGATTGAAGGAGAAGAAAATGAGAGCAACGACATGGGGTGTTTGACGGTTAAGCTTCGACGGGAAGGGATCTGTTGGAGGTTGGGATGGAGGGAACAACCTCCTCTCTCTCATTTTCGCGTTTTCCGGCGATCGAAGGAGCACCCACCTCCGGTGGGTGTGTCTTGGCAGTCTAATGAAGAAGAAATAGGGACAACAATAGTAAGTATCGGGGGTGTTTGTGTGGTGCTAAATGAAGAAGAAAACAGGAGAGAGAGAGAGGGAGGGGGAGATGGGACCCCCTTTGTATATTATTTCATTTTTTATAAAATAAGAGAAAAGATCATAAATGGTCCCTGTGGTAGTGAAATGACGAAAATACCCTTCAGTTAACAGACAAAACTTAACGGAGTTAGCAATAAGGACCAATCGTTAAAAGTTTTGAAAGCACATGGACCATCTATGACGTTTTTAAACCACGGGGACTAAACTTCATATTTGGGGAAACCACAGGGACCATTTATGATGTTTTTTCTAATAACTTTTAAGCTTCAATATTTCTAGAACTATAAACAAAATAGTATACCATTTGAAACTTTGAGAACAAAATATGTTTTTTTAAATGACCACTAATTAATATTAATAATAAACTTTGAAAACCACATTATGATCAAGATCATGATTAAAGGATAAGAGAAGCAAATTTAGTGATATTATATAGGGGAACGGTGAAAGGTTAGTTATATGTGTGAAGCAATGCACGACAAGCTCACATTTATTTATAGAATAAAATAGTTTATTAAGTTTGTTTACCATGACGTTGTGGGATAAATTTCTCCTTTATCATGTGTCTGAAAGATCTTTGTGCTAAAAAAATCATAATAAGATGATGTTACTTATAACATATGATCATAAATTTCCATGATAACAACAAGTTGATTCAAATAGATTATTTATAATAATTTGATTTCTGATAGATATTCATAACTCTTATAATTAATTATGAATTATTTATTTTATGAAAATAATAATTTTCAGTGGAAAGTAACATAATATATCATAATGTATGATTTATTAAATCATTTATATTCTTTTGGACTAAAAGGACTCTTTCCATTTAGCTAAAATATTGAAAGTTTATATCTTATAAAAGATTACACGGATTTTATAAACTTTGGTCTCTTTTTTATCCCTCATTGCCAAGAGCTAGTGATAGCAGAAAGGGAATAAGGATTTGATTATTTTAATCTAAAGAACACTTGTAACACCCTGATTTTCAAATATTACATTTTTGACCCTTGGAACGAGTTTTGTTTGAAAAAAGGGCCCATAGTGGCATTTTGGTAATTTTAGGATTTTGGGAGTACGCTGAGCGTACGTGTGTACGCTAAGCGACTGGGGTGCGCCTTAGTACGCTGGGCATACACCTCGTACGCGGGGCATACGTAAAGATCATGCAAACCCTAATTATTAGGGTT